AACTTTTTAAACTTATAACTTCATACAATTGATACAAAATATATTTGTTTATTAAAAAGGCACCAAAATCAGATGACATATTAATTAGTAGACTAATTTTGGTTTTGGTCGTCATTTACTTACAAAGTTGACTAAAATAAAGGAACTTGACATTTTAGTTAACAAAAGTTAAACATGCATTAAGGATTTGAAAAACAAAACATTAAAACGTACGGTTATACATTGTAAATAGTTTTAATCTCTTTTTGTCAAATGTCACTGTAATACAACTCTTCATTAATATTATGTCATGTGTTATGTAGATATATTAGGCAACTCATTTTAAAATTCAAATTTACATTTTCTAATTATATGTTAAATTTGAAGTTATAATAACGTTAAAAATTTGATATATCTCTTAATTAATAATTTATTTAAAATGACTTATTTAAAATAATTGATTAATAATTATAATTTTTTATTATAAAAAATTAATTAATTTTATAACTGTGGTTTCCACGGGTTATAAACTAGTGTATTTATATATTTATTGTTCTAATTTGTTTTCATTTATATAAAAAATAAGATTCTTGAAAAAGCATGTTATGTAATAAATGGATATTCTTAAAAATCGTTTAGTTTTAGTACTTAAAACAACAATATAGTTTATACTTAACTAAACATTATATATATATATATATATATATATATAGATATATATATATATATATATATATATATATATATATATATATATAGGCGTGGTTATTCTATTCAAAGTATTATTGTGTTATTGTATGTATAACTGTGGGCCAATCAATTTTATTTATTTTAAGAAAGTGATTAATATATATTATTGAATTAAATGTAATTGAAAATATCATCTAATTTAATTACAAGGGTATTTTAGTCAATTAATATAGATTTAATAAAGGAAAATTGCATATTTTAAAGGATCATAGATTCTATTAATTTTAAAAATCCGATTTTACGAGTTATAATTATTTTAATTCGGACATTCTGACACAATATGTTTATTTATTTAATTATTTACTCAAAAATAAAAATATGCTTGAACCATAAATAATAAAAATATTCTTGAACCTATTTCTTGATCATGACTTTAAGAACTTCTTGTAGAATAACAAATTCTTGAACAATCAATTGAAGAATAAAAACAACAAATACATTATTTCTTATAGAATACGGGTAACAATTGTTAAGAATTACATTTATTGTTAAAGAATAAAACTAAAAAAACTTTCAAAACGGGAAAGAAAACATCAAAATCTAACAACGACTAATACATTCTAAAAGAATAATGTGGTCCGTTTCAATTTCGTGGTCCGTTCTTCAAGCATCAACTTCTGTGATTCCAACAGAATTGGAATACGTGATTCCATTCCAATAGAATTGGAATCTTACCAATATCATCCATTGAATCATCTACATAAACATACTTGATACCTTTTCAGAATTCAACCTTGTCAAGATCCTGCACTGTCCACATAAATGAAGTGTTAAATCAGAAAAAAAAAACATAAATTGAAATATGAATCAGACCATTTGAATCAGTCCCTTAGTTGCATCAATCAGACCATTTGAAAGAAACACGGTGATCTCCATATCACTCAAAACCCCCAAATTCCACTTGAATTGGAATTATAAAGCTGAGTTATCGATTCCTGTAACAAACAAAAACGGAAGGAAAAAACCCTAAGTGAAAATTAACTCGAACAGAGCTTCATGTTACTTCATTATATCAAAAATCGAATCTAACCAAACATCGATTCACTCGAATACGAAGCTCGAAAGAAAAATAATTCAATCAAACAAGTAAAGCAATAAACCTCGTAACCAACAGAGAAACTCGAACTGGATAAAAAATGGATCATCGGAAGAGAAAAAAATGTTGACTAAAGAGAAGAGAGTAAGCTAACCTGATTAGTAGAAGTTGGTTGATTGATTTGAACAGAAATCGATGGATCAAAGGAAGTAAGAAGTGTAGATCGGAAGAGGGATTAGGGTTCGTAATCAGAATCTTTTCGTTGGAAGGATGGTGAAAGTCAGGGGCGATGGTGGGGTATTGGTATTGGAGTACGTTGTCGTTTAAAAAAAAAAAGATATAAAACCTGGAGAAATTAGGATTAAAAGTCAATACCATGATTATAGGGATTATTTTTGGAAGTTGTTAATCATATTACTAAATTACCCTTATTTATTTATTAAATTATTTATTTATTTTTTTTAAATTTTGATTGGTCCACATTTATACATACGATAACACAATAATTACTTTAAACACCTGAACATATATATATATATATATATATATATATATATATATATATATATATTTCCTGATGCATTTTCTTAAAATATGACATCGGCCTATACATATTTTAAATTATTTTTATTTTATATATTTTTTTCAAAATAAAATTTGAGTTCTCAACCATTTGGACGGATGCACCTTTTGATTTTTGATGACTAAACAAATAATTGAGAATAATATGTCAATTATATTACTATAAGCCTTTTTATGTAAAAAAAAATACAAGAATGGTAAGAATGTATGATTGTCTTTGTTTTTTAATCTATTAAATTTTCTATGTCATTATACAAACATGATAACAGTTAAAGATCAATACTATATGTTAGAAACCATTTTATATTAATTAAAAGTAATGATCATAGACTTATTTATTCATCATTTTGTTTATATTTATTTTTTAACTTTATTTTAGAAAATGTTTACTATTACACCTTTATATTTAGCTTTTATGTTTAATCAATACATGTTGTACATAAGTCGCACGTCTAGTTGAGTTTATAATTGAGAATCGGTTCCGAAAATAGATATAACAACATGGTTCATTAATAACAAATTCATATATAAAAGCTTCACAACAATATACTTGTTTCCAACTTGTAAAAATCTGCCGACAAAATCTGGTGACTAATGGTGGACCCACTCCGAGGTCTAAATCCTACTTATAAGTTTTGTCTAGCTCTGTTCTGACACATTTCTTGTTGTAATCTTACTGCAATTCGACGTCTTGATTAGTCTTTGTGGGCCCGATATCTAGATCATATGTCTATTGCCAAGAAAAATTATAAGTCACATTTTCCCGACAACAATTATAAGATTGAGGAACAATCTCAACCAACTACCCTAATACCAGATAGGAACTTGACCCATGCCGTGTAGTACTATAATGACGACCATTCAAAAATGTCACCAATCACTTATAAATATCATCGTACCACCTTCTAACCAAGTAAGATCATTCTAACAACATTTCGTTCATACTTTCTCTTTTAAATACTTGTTCAATGCTAACTTAATCGTCATAAAGTATTTTTAGGGATCGAAGCCATACATGAGATGCATTTTTGACTGCATTTCATCCTCGGTTTGAAGACTGTCTTTGTCTCAAATCGAAGATCCACATGAAAAACCCCCTTTGGATATCGTTTATCATAGTAAGGTGCTGTTTGTTTTTTTGAAGCCAAAATGTCTGCAGTCTGCGGACCACATCTGTAAGCCTCTGCGGCAGAAGAGGTGGACCAAATGTCTGCAGTCTGCAATAAGAAGACTGTTTGTTTTTAACGTCTGCAGCTGTTGAAATAAATTGATTTTTCAAACTTAATTTCATATCATAAACATTAAAAATGCATTTTCAGCAAAAAAAAGAAAGAAAAAGAAAACTACACGGTGGCCCATGTTTTTTTTTTTTGGTTTAGATAAAAATGGGGTCTGAAGACCTTGAAGGCAGTAGTCCATGTCTGCGCCAGGAAGACCTCGCGCAAACGTTTTTTGATCTGTGCACTTCCAAAAAACAAACACTCTGCGAGGGCATATGTCTGCGCGTTGTCTGCGCGGCGCAGACAAAAGTGGTTGCGCAAATATTTAAAAAAACAAACATGCCTACGTTTTATTTACAATTTCCAAAAATCAAATTTATAGGGGGGGGGGGGGGTAAATAATCATTTACTTGAAAATTTTATATTCTTTGATAAACTCCAAAACGCGGGCACGGAAATAGAAGATTGAACGACAAAAATTAAAGGTTTTAGTACTTATTTGACTGTATTTTGACCAAGGCCCCACACATACACATATTCACACTCCATTCTCTTCCCATCTTTATTTCGACAGTAAACTGTGGGACTAAAACAACGCTTAGATCCGAATCCGACCACAAAAAACTTCGCCAAAACCCTAGCCCGGCGTACAATATCTGTAAGAAAACTCTTCCATGTTTCACTCTCACCACAAATGCACTTGTCTCTGTACCCTTACTATGATCCTGCACTTTGACTACAATCTGTTCTATTTGTTATATAATCTATTTGAAGCCGATTCCTCGAGATCTCGACTTTCAAAGTTAGTAAGTTACCCGATATGATTATATTATAGTATTATTTAAGCTCAGCTTGGTCTACATTTGTGTATTAACAAGGGTAGGATGTTAAGCGCTTAGATGTGTAGTTTATATGTGTTTGTATCTTGTAGATTTGAGATCTTCATACCTGGTGGACTTCTAGTGAAGTAGCGGTTGGTTTCGGTGGAAATGAACTTGTTAGAATTGTACCTCAGTACTTCAGTTTCCAAATGTAGGGTTTTTTTTTGTCAATTTTATTTTTTTAGGTGCGAACTTTGGCTGTATATCTGATACTGCTCGCTTGTAATCTATATGAACGTTTTGGTACTTGGAGTACCTTTCAGTGATTAAGTTGCTACCTTTTGTGCTATTTTGAAAAAAGCAGAGTATAATTTCTTGTAGATCTGAGACTTTGCTTTGTATTAATTCAGAAGCTATATGGCGGGGGTCTGTCTAATTAAGACTTTGAGTTTTCCCTAATTTGATTTCGATCACATTTAGTTGTTGAAATATGTGTTTGATAATTAGATTACTATGTGTTGCTTAATAATCAAGGCTAGTAGTAGGTTTGCTTTTTTGAACGTTCACCATTGACATCTAAATTTTTTACAGGCTCAGTTGGGGTGACACCAGATGGCAGGGGTGGACGTTCAAAATCAGCTTCTTGGAGAAACAACTTGTGGATCATTATTGCATCAGTTGCAAGTGAAATACCATATTCCCTAACACTATTTACGTTTTATGTTGTTGCATTTTTTTTCTTTTTTGTGACTGATATTTTCATTTCCGAACTGAACTTGTATGACATTATTGCAGAAAATTTGGGATGAGGTGGGTGAAAGTGATGATGAAAGAGATAATATGCTTGTTCAGATAGATCAAGAATGTTTGGACGTGTACAAGAGGAAAGTGGACCAGGCTACAAAGTCAAGATCACACTTTCTTCAGACATTGGCATATGCTAAACTTGTGTAACATCCGGATTTCCAGGTATCATGTTTGATCATTTAATTATGAGTAAAAGAGAGGGACTCGACGAGTTGAGGCGTGGACTCGTCGAGTAGAGACGCGATTGCTGACTGGATTAATGAACGGACTCAACGAGTCGGAAAGGGTGGACTCGACGAGTCCGCGCTGTAAATTGAAACCCTAATTCTTGGGGCATGAGCCCTATTTAAAGGCCTTTATGGCCTCCATTTGCGGCTACTTCACCCCTAAGAAACCCTAGAGAGCAGAGAGATCGTTTGTGGTGCAAGAGGAAGACTAACTCACCATTTCTTGTGTATTTTAGCAAGAAGGAAGGAGGTAGAACAAGCTAGGCAGATTGAGGAGCTTGAATCCACTTCTATTTGATCAGAGGAAGCTGTTGGAGATAACAATCTGTGCCATTCTCGTGTTATTATGATTCTAGTGGAATCTAGGGTTTTCTTTATGCCTCTTTTAGTTGAATCTTGAGTATGTGAGGTCCCAAGGCGAGTTGGTTCATAGATCTGGACCTTAATAGGTCCAGAGAGTCCTTACCACTCTGCTTTATGCCATACCTTTTGAGTTATGAGCCTAGGAGGCCATTTTAGAGGTTATTTCACCAAAAGAAGCTTTGGGTGTGTTGCATGTGTACGAAGATTCGACCTTTACGTGATTATCATGCTTGGGAAGGTCAGATCTATAGATTAGAGAAGTAGATCTGACCTTAGGAGGTCATTTGAGTATGAACATGGAAACAACTCGCCGAGTTCATAAGTGGACTCGACGAGTCGAGTCGGGGTTGCCCCGCGATTCGTGACAGGTGGAACCTGTCGAGTGGGAGGATGACTCGACGGGCCAGGAAAGGCTAGAAGGACCCAGAGGACACGCTTGGACTCGCCGAGTCACCTATGTGCACTCGCCGAGTCGGGTCAAAGTTGACCGTTGACTTCTGTTGACTTTTAGGGTCCAGTCAATGTTTGGACTTTTGAGCCATTGGAGGAGTAAAATGGTCTTTTACCCTCCTGCGAGAACCTAGAGAGGGAATAGCCTAGCCTTTGAGAGTCGTATTGATAAGAGTAATTATTTTATGTGATTAGGCGGAGGCTAGATCAGTATTTCCGAGTTCGAGATTTACCGAGTTACCCGAGGTGAGTCTTCTCACTATACATTACCTAGAGTGGTATTCATGTGTAGACCGGAGGGTCTTGTATGTTATGTGTATATATATGAGATTATGTGCATTGTGTTATATGTATGCTATGTGTTGAACAGACCGGGCCGGAGGGCCCAACGATATAGACCGGACCGAAGGGTCCAACGAGCTATGACCGGACCAGAGGGTCCAACGAGCTACAAGAATGGAGGGTCCCGCTGAGACACATCGACCGGAGGGTCGTACTGTAGCCTCGAGTGGCGTATGTGTTGTATGTGGTATATTGGGGAACTCACTAAGCATTTATGCTTACAGTTGTTGTGTTATGTGTTTCAGGTACTAGCGAGGATCGCGGGAAGGCGTCGGCATGATCCGTACACACTCATAGAGATTATTTTTTGAGATTCTGGGATTGGTTCTGTGATGATAACATTGGATACATTTTGTTTGGATATTGTTTTTGATGATTAAAAGTATGATTTAAAAATGAAAAATTGTTTTGGAAATTTTCGTTGTTACAACTTGAACTCTCCACTCTTCTTGCATCCCTAGGGGAGAATACATTTGTTGGGTTTGTGAGTAGTAGCTCTTAATTTTCTTTTTCTGAAGCTGTGAAAATTTATGTTTGTTTGAATGCCCTTTTTTGATATGTGCAGTCTGAGAAGACTGGTGGAACCATCAAAGAGCAGCTTGCTGCTATTGCACCAGCTCTAGAACAATTATGGAAGCAGAAAAAGGAAAGGATCGAGGAGTTCTCAGATGTACAGACACAAATACAAAAAATATGTGGAGAAATTGCAGGGAGCAGTGAGCGTGCAACAGGAAACCAAGGTGTTGATGAGTCTGATTTATCCTTGAAGAAGTTGGATGAATTCCATGATCAACTACAACAACTGCAGAAAGAAAAGGTAATCTCTATTCTCTAATAACTCATTCATTAGCTAGAATCTAGATTCTAGATGGAGTAATGAATATGCAATGGATGATGTTGAGTTGGCAGAGTGATAGACTGCACAAGGTCCTTGAGTTGGTGAGCAGTGTACATGATCTTTGTGCTGTCCTTGGGATTGATTTTTATAGTACAGTAACAGAAGTTCATCCAAGCCTCAATGATGCAACTGGTGTACAATCTAAAAGCATAAGCAATGACACACTTACTCGCCTTGCAAAGACAGTCATATCTTTGAAAGAAGATAAGAAGCAACGCTTGCACAAGGTACATATAACTTAAAAAGAAGGGACCCAAGGATAAAAATGTGTATAGTCTTTGATTCTTGACTTTGTTTTTTGGTTTTACAGCTTCAAGAATTAGCAACCCAACTAACTGATCTTTGGAATTTGATGGATACATCTGAAGAAGAACAGGGGTTGTTTGATCATGTGACTTGTAACATGTCGGCTTCAGTGGATGAAGTGAATGTCCCAGGGGCCCTTGCTCTTGATTTGATCCAACAGGTAGCTTAAGCATTAATTACATAAATATCAAACTAACAAGTATGAATTTATATTTAATATGTTTTTTTGAAGGCGGAGTTGGAAGTGGAGAGGCTGGATGAGTTAAAAGCAAGCAAAATGAAAGAGATTGCTTTTAAAGGCAAGGGGAGCTTGAGGAGATATTTGCACGTGCACATATTGAGATTGACAGAGAGGGTGCGAGGGAGAAGATTTTGGGTCTGATTGATTCTGGGAATGTGGAGCCTTCTGAGTTGTTGGTTGACATGGATAACCAGATCATAAAAGCTAAAGAAGAAGCCCTGAGTAGGAATTTTTTTTTGGATAAAGTGGAGAAATGGATGTCAGCTTGTGAAGAAGAGAGTTGGCTTGAAGATTACAATAGGGTATGTGTTCCTTTTATAGATATAAATATATAATAATTGTTTTAATGAATGACATGGCACTGGCAATGGCAGGATGACAACAGGTACAATGCAAGTAGAGGCGCACACTTGAACCTGAAGAGAGCTGAAAAGGCTCGAATATTGGTGAACAAAATTCCAGGTGTGGTTGAGAGTTTGGTGGGGAAGACACGGGCATGGGAAGAGGAGCATGGGATGAGTTTCATGTATGATGGAGTTCCGTTGCTTGCTATGCTAGATGAATATGCGATGCTGAGGCATGACAGGGAAGAAGAGAAGCGAAGGGTAAAGGTAAGTTTTATTATATAATATATAATATATATATATATATAATATATATATATATATATATATATATATATAATATAATATATATATATATATATATATAGAAAATTGGCAGTCAGTAACTGGTTGTAATTTTGAATGCAGAAGGATCAGAAGAAGATGGTTACCGAGCAGCGGTAGGTAAATCCAAATACAGAGGTAGAAACTGCGTTTGGTGCGAGGTCAAGCCCTTGGAGGCCGCTTAGCAGTAATACGAAGAAGGTGGGGGTGCATGCCACTGCCAATCCCAATGCCAATGGAAGTCCAAATCGACAGTTGTCTTTGAATCAGAATAGGTCGGTTAATAGAGATGGGAAGGTGAAGCCTAATTCTCCATCTCCGTTGAAGGATGCTGTGTCACGTGTATCCGGAACTGAGCCTGCCCCGACTACACCTTAGCTAGGGTGGTTAGTCTTTAGAGTCCTTCAATAATAAAACCCAAATATTTTAGGATTTCCTCTTGTATTGTATTGTATTGTTGTTATTATAAATCAGTCCAGAGAGAGAGAGAAAAAAAGAGTGGACATGGTTTAGGTTGTTCTTTGTATCCGATATCAATTACTCTTTAGTTTTACCTTTATCTAACCACTTTTCCATTTAAAAAATTGATTTATCTATTTTTTGGATTGACTTGCCTTATAGCGGCAAATGTGTCGATGAATCAATTTTTTTAAGTGGAAGATTCATCTGTTTTTCTTCTAAAGGCTTACAATTATGTTCCATCGATATGGTTTATAGGGATGGTATGATTTTGAAGGTTCATTGTGAAAAGTAAAAGTGAGTCTTTAAATATAATTTATTTTAATATATAAACACAAATACAAAAGTAAATTAAATTAACCACACATTTATTTGTGTGAGAAGAGTATATTTATAATAACAATTTACAAAGAAGAGAAATAAAAATATACAATTGAGTTATATACTATGTAATCTACCCAATAAATAAAAATAATTTTGCCAGATGTAAAAATACGATTTATGTAGTGTTATTCTTTCCAAAATCAATTCTCAAAATCATACACTTTTGAATGAATGGAAATCAATATATCATGATATCAATCATGCAATTTATGTAATGTTATCCTTTCCAAAATCAATTTTCAAAATGATGTATAAATCCGATTTCCTTCCTTATGTTAGTGTTAGTTTTAGTAGTCAAATTCATTTGGTTTCTTCAAACCTTTACCATGCATAATCAAAATCAATTACACCACCATCTCCACATGGTTAACAAATCATTTTGATTTATTGATGAACTTCTTTTGCAAAACAGTTTATTATTGAATAAATGCAAAAGTTTATGTATTTTGTTATCTTTTCGCTGCATTTGTCCGTGTTGATGTAAATCTACTATTCGAATCCTTTTGTATATGGGAATGCATATATGGTGTTCGATAGAATGCCTCAAAGAAATATGGTCACTGACATTTTAATTATTTGATTTGGCTCTATTTTGGCTGCTGCTTCATCCCCTGGTGACAGAAAAGTTTAATTGGTGTGATAATCATGTCACTCAGTTAGCTTCTTATGTTCTTGCTATACATAGATGACAACTCTGCCCATGCCCTTAAACATATGTGGTTGCTAATCTGAATTATAGTTGATGAAATTCAAAGAGACTAACGGTAATCCCTCAAGTAGTCTGAAAGGTTGGAAAAAAATTGATGTACTTGGTTCAGTTGCATTTTTGTCATGTATTACACAAAAGGCTATAAAATACTCTGAGATTTTACTGCAAAATTTATTCTTCACAAATATTCCTGTTATACGTGAATTATGTGTCAACAAGGGCTAATTTCTCATTAGATAATGGAACTTTTGTGTAAATCATGTCAATCAGTTAACGTCTTAAGATCATAAATTTCTTTGATTTTGAAGTATGGCAGCCGATTATGTGTATACATGTATTTTAACATTCAGTTTTCTATGCATAAACGTAGTGATCTACTTTCATAACATCTATCTATATGTGTATACATGTATTTTAACATTTAGTTTTCTATGGATTACTTTGCATGATATAAATGAAGTAGGAAATTAAAGATTTATAGTAAAAAGGTGTAAAGTGATTAAGAAGTTGATAATATCTGTAATAATTTGATAACATATGAGAAAATTGTTTCTTGACCACAAAAAATCCTACTATAATTAAATTTTATGAAGTCTATTATATGTAAATGTAGCTACTTTCTGCACTTAATTAGTGGTATCCTTACTTTGTTCCTTAGGGTACTGTTCTAGATGTTTACCCACTTGATTTCCCATACAAGTGTATTCTAAGTTACATACTGATTTGATAATTCTTTCATATATATATATATATATATATATTATATATATATATATATATATATGTGTGTGTGTGTGATTTATTGTATGATTACTAAAATTGCTTTGGTTGATATTATTGTACAAGATATGCATGGCTTTTATTTGTTTGTATAGTTTCTTATGTTTTTTTTGGTAAGGTTATGTAATGTCCTAAAGAGATTGTCCAAAACGTTTACCAGGTGGTAGAATAACCGATATCGAGATTTTGACATTTTTATGAAGGAAAAGTTGTCAACTCTTTCTATTAATTTGGTAAAACACTTGATTAAATAATGTTTTACGGTTTTCTCTCTTTTCTTTCTTATTGATTTTTTAGTATTTGTGTTATGGTTCTAGTAAGAGTCGACTACCTATTTATTTTCTATGGTTTTCTTATGCACGTACAACAACATATTGAGCTTCATGAGTTGATCCCTATTTTTGTGGTATGTCTTGGAAGATGAAAGGGAAAACAAGTCATTTGAAAGATGGTTTTAAGTTGAAGAAAAAGTGCTCCAGAATGTATTTTTCATATGATTTTTTTTTAAGATTTTATGTTCGTCCTTTTTCAATGCTTTTTCCTTAAAAATTATTTTTCAACCTTAGGACCTACATGTTCCTCCTCATTGCAGCATATGATTCTTGGCAGTCAAAGGTCTAATCTATCTGATTACTGAATTGTTATTATCTTTTTTTAAGTTCTAAATGGAAGAAATAATAATACACTTTGATTTAGTACTGTAACTTTGATGAATGCAATGTTTAAATAATATTTTTTTTATCACTGGAGGTGTTATGTAAAAATCATATTGTTACAAGCAGATATAAAGAAAAAGAGGGATCAAGAGTGTTTTTTTCTTAGTAATATAAAATAGAAATGTGCAGTGGAGGTACAAAACAAGGAGCGATTGTTTTTGTGTTTCCACAATATGGTTGTATTTTCATTTATGTGTTTTTATGCTTATTTTTATTTTATCAGTTAGAAAATATCAAAAAAAAAAAACTCCTAATTAAAGATGATGCATGTGTTGGAGTTTAGGAGACGGTGTTCATAACTACTTAACTCAAGAAGCTTTAGACGTATCAAAAAATTCAAAAAAGCTAAATATAAACCGGTTGTCACAACTCACAACAAATATTATGTATTAATAATGAATTTTCATCCACAACTCGAACTAAATAACATAATCATTGTTTGAATTCGATTATATATAAATAGTCCTACAATAAAAATATAAAGGAACACATTACATATATGATCTCAAAATTTAAAATGTAAAAGAAAATAAAACGTAGTGAGAATAACACAAAAGTTATGTATAATAAACGCATTGTTGTAGATTTTTAAGATGTTTTTATCATTTTTTATACTATTTTTAATAATCATTATTATTTAATGATAATCAAGTTTCACTTTTGTTAAATGGTGTTATCTAATATTTTTAAGATGTTTTAATTTATGTTGCATTTATGCAAAAATAAAAATATAAATTTTAATGTTTAACTACTAACGTGACAATAACGTTACAACTTTTATATGATTTTTATTATAAGATAATGTTAACCCTTACAAACCAAACAACCGTCCAATGTTTAATAGAACAACATAAAATCATAAATTATAAACTCTTGACTCATTGACAATCACTAATTCTAATGATTGTAATTCTAAAAAAAAAGAAAAAAAATGAATAATTAATGAAACCAAACATATAAAAATTGTTTTACTAAATCATAATATATATATATATATATTATATATAATATATAATATATATATATCTATATATATATATATATAAAATGTAAGATAAAACTAATTTACATTACGGACGATACAAATTGATAAGATATAAAATTTGTTGTTTAGAAAATAAAGTAGAATAAAGTACCAATTAAATATTACAAGTTAAAAAAAAACTTGTAAGTTATAGTGGTTAATTAGTTGAAAGTTGAAGAGTTTTAGTATTAAAATATATTAATGTTATGGTTAATTAGTAAGAAGTTGAAGAGTTAGGAGTTTCAAATGAATATTGTTTAAAATAGATGACTTATCTTGAATAATACTAATTTGGATAACCTCTATTATAAGATTTATAAAGACACAAATTATAAATATACTAGACGAATTCCCACGCGTTGCGCGGCGCATGTTAAAAATATATTGTTAGACTATTAAAACTATTTGCCCTTGATTTTTTAATTTATTTAAATAAATACACCCCCAGCCCCAACCCCCACACCTTACCTTACCTACCTCATCATTTTTCCCTATTTAAATAATTGTCTTTTTAGGTAAGACATGGACCAAACGCGTAACAAAAACAAACAATAGGGACCAAACGCATAACAAAAACAAACAGTAGGGACTTACCGAGTTAAAAAAATAAGTTAGGGACCAAACGTGCAAATTACCCCAAACCATAGGGACTATTCGTGTAATTTACTCTAAAATATAAAGTGATAAGATAAACAATTTGCATTTTAAAAGAGACTTACATGGATAATATTGTTGGATTAGGTGTCTAAGCCCATAACTATTCTTGGTATGTGCTTGATTTGATTATGAGCATGGTCCTTTTGGGTTGCCTTCACTCGTGCAACTTGATAGGATGATAAAAGGAGAGAGAGTAGGATTTATTATATGAATAATAAATTGGTACTCAAAATGGTTTTATTAATATATTATAAGATTAATATATTATTTGGAAATCATATTATTTAATTAGTATTGGTCATAAATTAATTTGGTGATCAAAAGAGACTGATTAAATTAAGGGGACGGATATTGCAAATCATTGATAGTTACAATTGGGCTGATGAATCACCTTGGAATAAAGGTTGGACGAATTCTATGGGAAGCCCATAAATTTTGGTACCTAGACATTACAAAAGGAATCTTTGCATAATTGTTTAGAACTAACACATTCTAATAGTGGCAAGAATTTGGTATTCTTACACTTAAAGATTTGGAATTGTGAAATGAGTTTAATTGGAAATCAAATTGATTTATTTCACAAAGTAAGGACCATAGGTAAACATAGTGTGTATTCTTGGAGCATGGAATAACTATTGTTTTAATACAA